GCGCTACAATGAGAGGCACAAATCACAGACCTGAGTTCAAAGGTATACATTTCCCCTTCCCTGGATATCTTCTTGAATCTCTATTTTGCCAGCTATTGCAACCTAATTTGAGTTCCATCTTTGGCACAAGTAAAACTAAGTATACCCCTCCTATGCCTCTCTTTAGGATCTATTGTCATTCACAGGATGGCCCCAACAGCTTTGCTGGTAAGTTATGACTCTTGCCCTGTAGTCACATTTATTTGATTCTGGGCTGGTCATATGACTCAGGCTTAGCCTATAATATCCTATTTAGCAGAAAGTTTAACAAGAAGAACTGAGAAATGTAGGACCTGGGGGTGGTTGGAGCTGCGCTGAGTTGGTGGCATCATTCCAGAGAGGTGTTACCTTCTCCTGCTGAGTCTCTTGTGGCTTTCTGCTGAGATGGATGGTCATTCCTTCCTTGAATTCATCAGATGCTCCAATCACTCCTCATAAATTCCATTCATTATTTAGTTCTTGACTAGGTCAGCAGTTGGCTTCCATTGGCAGCAGACAAAAGAACTCTAACAAATTTATTTAACCTTTTCATCAAGAATTATGATGACATTTTAGCCATTTCTTATTTTTTCTTTTTAGTTATTCATGGCAATAGAGTCCATTTTGACATAATTATACAAGCGTGGAATATATCTTATTAGGATCCCAGTCTTGTGGATCTACATGGTGGTAGGATTCACTGTGGTGTTTTCATATATGTACACAGAAAAGTTATGTCAGATTCATTCCACTCTCTTTCCTCTTCGGCTTCAAAGGGGGGGCGGGAAGAGGAGGTGGGAGATGGGTTGCTTTTTCTTTGGGAAAAAAGAAGAGAAACTAATGGCTCCTTGATTCAATCATCTAGAAATTCTCAGCTTGCCAGAGCAAAGCCCTATTTAACATCCTTGACCCTTAAAGAAACTCCCAAAAGATAGGATAAAAATGCTGTTTCTAACTAACAATCACATAAAGCCTAGGGTTAGTAAGAGGCCAGAGGGACCTGACAGTTTTAGCTTTATGCCTGATCTCTAACATGTTGAGTTCCAGAAATTCAGCTCATCTCTCCCCTTCTAAAAAGAATATCCAACTGGGGCCATTCAATAAGGAAAATGAAATTCTGGTTTATAAATGTTTTTGTATTTCTAGAAGTGAGAAGTATTTTTCCTAACCTTATGGTATTATCTTGAGTTGCTTTAAGCCCTCCTCCCCCCAAAGCCTGTACAGCTAAACAAGGAATCTGCAGAGGTTAGGGTTCCTCATTGCACCTAGGGTGGGGCAGGGTGGGGTGTCTATTGTGTCATAAAGCTCCTTGGATTTCCAAGGAGGTTTAGTTGCTGTGCTTTCCTCCTCACCTCATTTGCTGGTCAAACCTAGGTAAGGTGAACATCTTCTCTTCATTACTACTTTAAGGGGTTTTATGAGAGTCAGGAACATCTGTAGCCTAGAGAAGCAGATGCTGGGGAGCCTGTTTGACTGATATTTCTGAAGCAATCAGCCATTGAATGGGCTGGAGTCTATCACCCTAAAAACCACTGGAATAACATGGCATCAGATGGAGACGGGACTCACAGATCATTCAGTGCAACCCTGTCATTACATAGCAGGTGGCAGCTTGGACACCTGTGTGAATTCCAAGGGCTTCATCTCTGCAGTGGTGCTGGGTGTCCTGGTGGTTGGTGTTCTTTCTTTCTCCCTGTTTGTTTCCTTTCATGATGCTGTTTATGGGTTGGTCAGGGGTAAGAGTAGAATGGGGAGGCAGTGAGGAGACTTACTCCTTTGAATGATGGATTTGATATTATGATTTGATGTTTTCAACATAGCCTGACATTCTAATAACTCAGTGGGTTGATGGAGAATATAGATGGTTTTAGTGTGTAGCATTTCACTGTTTTAGACAGATGTTTTCATTTATGTTTTGACTCTAGCGCACTTTGCTCAAAGCTCAGGAACTCAGGACCTGATCTTGGACAACTCTCTTTTCACCCCCCCCCCACGGGCTCTCTCTTTGGGAGCATCTTGAGCCTGTTAGGAGGTAAGTAAAGTAAGTCAGAGTCACCTCAGTGGAAGTCAGCTTCGGAAGAGACTCAGGTGTGCTGAGATCTGATGCGGGCATTGTGGCCGGACAGGCTTCTAGTTGGAGATCAGCATGGAGGCTTCCTTGTCTAGGGAACAGTTAGTGCCAAGGCTTTGAGACAGGCAGAGGGTGTGCTCTATCTCAGGAACTGAAGGGAAGGTTGTGGGCTGAACCCCAGAAAGACGTGATGGATGGGCAAGGCTGAGAAGTGGCCAGAAGCTGGTCCAGGAAGGCAGGACGAGAACTTGACCTCTGTCTTAGGAGCAGAGGAAAGTCTTATCTTTCCCCCCTGCCTTTTTATGAGGACGTTGTTTTCCCTGCTGTCCACTCGAGGTGGATACTGCTCTCTTGCAGCTCTCTGACCACAGAGCCTGAACTGGGGTGGGATGGCTCTTCTCCCTGCTCATTGCCAATTCCAGATATTTTTCTTCCTTGCCTTTAAAATCCTAGCTTGAGCCTCATGATTGGACTTAACAACCCGATGGCTCCTCCTGAGGCAGTTCACATAGAGTCCTTAGGGTAATTGCCTTTAATCCTTAGATATTTCAGCAGCCCAATAATCCACATTTTTTAGGGGGACCTCCAGAAAGGCTCTCTAAGGCCTTGAAGACATCTTGTTACCTGGTCTTCTCTGCACTCAACTTTGGCCACCCAGACTATAGCTACACCCTAAACTTTTCCACCAACAATACATGGCAAACTTCCATCATCTGGACTCAAAGCATCCCCCTTTCCCTCACCTGTACCTAATGAAACCTATTTGAGTAACTGCAGATAAAAAATCCTGTGCCAAAAGTCAAAAACATAATTTGTGCACACACAGGACAGGGTATATTTGGCTACATTAGTCAAGATGAACCACCATTGGTTAAAACCATAGAAATTTTTGTATTGATATAAAAATAAGAATCCTCTTGCAACTACCTTGGGGGGAAACCTTCTATTAAGGTAGTATGCTCATTCTTTGGTGTGAGATTCTTAAGGGGGAAAGTCACCTCCAGGGGTGTTGAAATCAGTGTTCTAAACCTTCTGTGACATCACCAAGGTTCCAGATGAAGAGTAGAGACTCGGGAGCAACTTTCTGTTACTTTTAAAGAATAATTATAATTGGCTTCTCATTAAAAATCTAGATTTCTGATTTATTTTCAGAAAAATCTAAGTATTTGGCACTGTTGGCTAAATCTGCCCCATGGCTATCTCAGTGGCCCCTCTGGTGAATTCAGGCCTGTCCACATAACCCACCCACTGCTGTTCCTAACTCTCTTCTTTTATCTTTGTCCTAACTCTACTTCAGTCAGGTGTTCAGATCATCCATTCAAACAAAGCTGCTCTTTTCAAGATTACTGTTGATGACCATGTTGCAAATCATAGTGATCAATGCTTAGCTGTCACCTTACTTGAAGTTTCTGCCCAATATTTTTTATAATGGAGCCAGTTGCCAATTATTATTTGCAAATGCCCCTGGTGTGAGCCAGTCAATGGGGGAGAGGTAATGAAGAAAAGTACAAATCGATTATTGCTTATTAAACATGCATTTATTACTACTTCACAAGTTATTTAAGCAATTAATACATAAAGAAATTGGGGTGAATGAAGCAGCCCAGCATTATGGGAGCTAACTAGGCAGAGAGGATAGCGCTACCCAAACTCTTGAATTTGGTCAGTTGGTCAAACTCCACAGGCCTCCCAGATCCTGGATACCCGAGTCAATATGTAGATGACCTCTGCTGGGTGATGCTTCACCCATCTGCTCAAGGAAAACATATAGTGCAGTATATAGCCCACTCTGTGCCTTTCAAAAAATGTCCAACCCAAGACTTTTCTTAATATTCTGGTGACAGATTGGGTTTTTGTGTTTGCTTATTCATTTTGCTTTTATTTTATTTTGACTTTAATTTTTTAAATAATAGTACTTTTTCAGATATCATTTTTTTTAGAATAGTTTTAAGTTCCCAGCAAAACTGAGAGGGGAGGTATAGACACTTTCCATATAGTTGCTGCCTACCCCAAACTCACAATCTTCCCATTATCAATCTCCTCCACCAAAATAATACACTTGTTTCAAATGATGAACCTCCATCCCTACACAATTACTATTCAAAGTTCATAGTTTACATTAGGAAACATAGTCTATGGATTTGGACAAATGTAGAATCAATGTATCCATCATTACAGTCTCACACAGTGGTTTCATTGCCCCCCAAATCCTACATGCTCCACTTAATCTCCTCCTCAATAACAGTCCCTTATCTTTTAAAACATGTCCATAAGTTTTCCTTTTTCTAGAATGTTATATTGTCATATAGTTGGAATCAAAATATGTAGCTTTTTCAGATTGACTTTTTTACCTAGTAGTATAAATTTATTTCCTCCATGTCATTTCAAGGCTTGAAAGTTCATTTTCTTTTTTTGTGTGGTGAGTAATATAGTTCATTGTCTGTTTGGACTACAGTTTATCATACTGAAGGACATATGAGTTGTTTTCAAATTTTGGAAGCAATGAAGATGGTACTATAAACATCCATGTATAGTTTTTTAAAAAAATTTTGATTTTATTTTTTAAATACATGATAGTGGAATGCATCACAATTCTTATTTACACATATAGAACATAATTTTTCATATCTGTATATAAAGTATGTTCACACCAATTCATGTCTTCATACATGTATGTTGGATAATGTCTATCATGTTCTACCATCCTATGTGGAAAATACATCTTCAGATTCTCTGGGAAAACACCAAGAACCTGGATAGCTGGATTGTATCAAAAGAGTATGTTTAATTTTATAAAAAAAACTACCAAACTGTCTTCCAAAGTAGTTATATTATTTTGCCTTCCATCCAGCAATGAATAAGAGTTCCTGATGCCCCATAAGATTGCCCACATTTGATGATGTCTGTGTTCTGGATTTTGGCCATCCTAACAGGTATATGGTAGTGTCTTACTATTGTTTTATTTTGAAATTCTCTTTTGCAACATCTCTCATATGCTTATTTGCCATCTGTTTAACTTCTTTGCTGAAGTGTCTGCTAAGGTTTTTGACCCACTTTTTATTGGGTTGTTGATTTTCTTAAAATGTTGAGTTTCAAGAATTCTTTATTTTGAATAACAGTAATAATCTTCACTTTTAAAAATATATCTTGACTGTTGTTGGCCATTGTTTCTATTCAGAATGTCTTCACATTTTTATTGATATCAACAGGTTGGCATGATGTTCAGTGAGTAGTACAGTTTCTGCTGTTGGAGAGCCTTTCTTTGATGTTAATGGCTGCTGACTGGTCAGGATGGTAGTTGCTGAAGACTGAGGTAGCTGCAGCCATGTCTTAAAATTAGACAACCAGGAAGCTGGCCCCATTGATTTACTTTTCCTTTCACAAAATATTTCTCTGAAGCATGCCATACTAATGATAGTATTTGACCCAGCATTCCACTTCTTTCAAAACTGGAAGCAGTTATCTCAAAATCCTGCTGCTGCTTTATCAACTAAGTTCTATGTTATTCTGCATCCTTTGTTGTCATTCCAACAGCATTCCTGGCATCTTTACCAGGAGCAGAATTCATCTCAAGAAACCACTGTCCTTGCCTCAACTCGAGTTTGATCATGAGATTGCAGCAATTCAGTCACATCAAGCTCAACCACTGATTTCTAGTTCTCTTCTATTTTCACCACATCTATAGTGATTTCTTTACCAAAGTCTTGGACCCCTCAAAGCCATCTATGAGAGTTGGAATCAATGTTTTCCAAACTCCTGTTAATGTTGCTATTTTGACCTCCTCTGAGGACTCACGAGTGTTAGACTCTAGAATGAAGCCTTTTTCAGGTTTTCAATTTGCTTCCATCAAAAGAATCACTTTCTAAGGCAATCATAGCCTTACAAAATGTATTGTTTTAAATAATAAGAATTTATTGTTTATATCATAAGACTTGTAAAAACTCTTTGATCCATGGGCTTCAGAATGCATCAGTGTCAGCAGGAGGGGAAGAGCAATCATTTTTGTTATGTGTCTCCACCGAACGCTTGGCTAACCATATGCATTGTCAATGAGCAGTAATATTGAAGCAATCTTTTTATTCTGAGCAGTAGATCTCAACAGTGGGCTTAAAATCCTCACTGAACCATGTTGTGAACCAGATGTCCTGACACCTAGGCTTTGCAGGGCAAAGGCAGAGTAGATTTAGTTTAATTCTTAAACACCCTAAGATTTTTAGAACCATAAAGGAGTATTAGTCTCAATTTAAAGTCATCAGTTATATAGACCCTTAATAAGATGTCACCCTTCCCTTTGAAGCTGTGAAGCATTGACTTCTCTACTAGCTATGGAAGTCTAGATTGTTTCTTCTTTTAATATAAGGCTGTATTTTCCATATTGAAAGTGTTTTTTTTTCATTGTAGCCACCTTCATCAATTATTTTAAACAGATCTGGATAACCTGCTACAGCTTCTACATCAACACTCGTTTCTTCTGTCTTGCACTTTTATGTTACAGAGATGGTGTCTTTCCTTATACCTCATGCTGGATTCCTACTGACCCAGCCCCACCCATCACCTAGCTGAGACCACAGCAGGTCTGGACTGATGCTGGTTGACCATCCCCTCCGCCCCTCCCTAGACAGTCCTTCTGGGTGTGCTTCAAAGGTCCAGGTGCCTCCTGGGGTTCCTGGCAAAGCTTTTCACCTTGCAGGGGCACCAGGAAGCTTTCTGGAATCATGCAAATGTTCTAGATCTTGATAGAGAGGGGTAACTCTCATGCATGTATTCATTCATTAAAATTTCTCAGTCCCAACACATAATTACTGTATGTAAATCATAACTCATTCAGGGGTATTTTTTGAAGTAGGACAAGTTTTCCAAGCAAGGAACATTGAACCAAAGCTGGTTGTGCAGCCCCTGGAAGGGGGGATGCAGGGGTAGAACTGTGCTCCAAGATTTGTTCCCTCTACTGTTCACCATCTCTTATTGGCCTGGCAGGAGTCTCCCTACCCTCCCACCCAAGGCCTCACCCACAGAGCACTATCCACTAACCCCTAGGGTAAGATTTCAGATCATGCCACTCCCTTGCTTGTTGCTAGAACAGGCACAATCCAACTTTACCTCAGGGCCGCTGCACTGCTGGTTCTGTCTCCCCCAGACAGGACCTCTCATCATTTTGGGTCCTAAAGAGGTTTCCTGACCCAACTCTTTCCCTCACTTCTTCGATTTCATTTTGAACAGAACACCTGTGACTCCCTGATCTTAATTATTAATCACCTCCTCACATCCCAACCACACAACCTGAAGCTGACTTGTGCAATGGCACAGCCACCACCACACATAGTCCCTGGGTGCTTGAGATGGGGCCAGTTTAAACAAACGTTTACTCTAAATGTCATAAACACCCCAAAACCAAAGAATGTAAAATATCTCCTATGAAGCATTAAAATAATATTTCATATTTTAGGTTAAATAGAACACTAAAATTATTTTCACCTGTGTTTCTTTTTAAAATGTTTCCTAGAAAGTTAAAATTACACATGGCTCATGTTACGTCTCCTGGGCAGTCAGCCTAAAATGTCAAGTCTAGGGTTCAGTCACCTATGCTCCACCTCCAGGCCCTGGCTGGTCTGACCTAGGGAGAAGCCCTTGAAAGTTTTGCTTATTAAATGTTAATGAATTCTTAAGAAACTCATTAATTAATAAATTTATAAACTTGTAAAATTAATAAAGGTTGATTCACTTATGCTTGGCAAAGAAGTGCCCCAGAACAAGGCACAGGCTGGCTCTTTCTGGCAAATCTGAAATATCATACTTGCTCTGGCAATTCCCATTCCTTGACCCACAGCTCAAAGATGCTCCCTGACCTCTGATGACCCCAGGAAGCAAATATTGCTCTTATCTGGAGAAAAAAGAAGTCATGCTGGGCAGGTCAAATGCTTTTCAGGGCTCAGAAAGAGCAGACACCTTTGTGGAAACCAAGGTGACCCAAGCTTGGGAGTGTTCATAAGGAGAATCAAGAGTAGAACTGGGGGATCAGGATGAGGAAGCAAGAGAGGGAGAATGCAGGAAGATGGAGTATATTGTGGGAGGGAAAATCTGAGTGGGATGGAGAAAGGGACAAATGAGGAGGGATAAGGAAGGAGGGGAGACATTGTAAGAGGCCCAAAAGGAGAACAGGATCTAAAGGTGGGGAGAGGGAGCAGCCAGGAAAAGGAGGAGCCTGGATTGGGGAGGGACAGTGGGCCAGAGAGGGATAAAAGTGCTGTGGCAGCCCACTAGTACTCAGGGTCTCTGGATCACTCTCCACTCGGTTGCAGGTACAGCTCCATGTCCCAGCCAACCATGGCGATACCCCTGCACTTCCCACTGCTCCTTCTGGCAGCCATGGTGGCTGGCTATGCCGCAAGACCCGCAAGACCCGAACTCAGGAGCTCTCAACTAATGCTTGGCGGTCTGGAGGAGGCAGACATGCACGAGGAGGGCGTGCATCAGGCAATTGACTACGCCATCAGCGTTTACAACCAGGAGAACAATGATCCCTACTATAGCCGTGTTCGCAGGGTGGTGCATGCCCGCAAGCAGGTGCGTGCTCACGCCTCAGGCCTGAATCATAGGAGTTGCCCCTCACCTGGCATCAAACGCGTCCCCAGCCCCTCCCTTGCTCCTCTAGCTGCTGCTTCCCACTTGGGTACATTGACTGCTGCTATAGAGAGCTCAGCAGCCTATGGGCTGGGGGTGTTCTGATCTGCCAGGGAATTTACACACTCTGCTGCTCACCCAAGCCCTGTCCTAGGTAATTTTCTACCGCCCTTTGCGGGCCTGACCTGGGGATTGTCCTCGCTCAGGGTTAGCCTGGAAACCCACCCTGCCTAGCACTCCAGGTGGGCTCCTGGCGCTTTATTTCTGTTTCCAGCCACCAGCAGGCAAGGGGCATCAGGGCTACAGGTCAGGATCAAGGTCAGGGTCTGCCCTGGTTATAGATCCCTACTGCCAGCCTGAGAGGGCCTGGAATTAGTATAAACTTTTAACTCAATGATTGGAGACAACAAAATAGATGCCCCCCTGCATGCCTTCACTAAAAGATCTTTGAAAAGCTTTTTTTCACCTTTAATTTTGACATTATTGCAAATCTAGATCCTAATAGTAGTCCATGTTTCCTCCTTCGTCCTTGCTCTCCCAGGACACGTGTAGATGCATGTACTTATATGCATTATTTTTCTGGACCTTTTTAGAAGCAACATTTCAGCTTGCTTGCAAAATTGGACATTCTCTTATCTAAGATTCAGTTTTGAAAATCGGAATTAACACTGTCATATTTAGTTACCTTAATTCACAGACTCAAATTTGATGATGTGCACTGATGGATGCCCCTGTATGCTGCAGTCACTGTCCTGTCTCCTCAGCCTCCTTTCATCTGGAGCAGCTCCTGGTCAGTTTTCATGACCTTGACATTTCAAAGGGTCCCACCAACCGTGGTGTGCAGTCATGTGCCCACAAGGATGACTACATATACATTGCAGTTCCTTAAGATTGTATCATCTAGTGACATTATAGCCATCTTAGTTTGATATGTATAATATGACATTTACCCTGTGAAATCCTCTAAGGACACATTTATCAGAGCATGTTGATATGCTTATACTGGGTGTCTCAGATTTTTCCTCAGGATGGACCCCATCCAGAGTCCTCTGAGGCACCACTCAACATGTCCTGAGTAGCCTTCATTCCCTGTGCATGGCATGCCCTGGGAGCATTCCCTGGGAGTAGCCTCAAGGGGCTAGTGTCCCTCACTCTGAGACAGTGCACCATAGTGAATAGTCGTGGGCAACTGAGTGCCCCCTGGGATTGAGAAGACCTCACCTGGACGCAGCCAGGCAACCATGGACTGAAACCTCTGGAACCGTGAGCCAAGATAACCCTTTCTTCTCTAAGTAGTTCATATCAGGTATTTTGGTCACCATGATGAAAAGCTGGCTAACACACTAAGTAAAGGTATTAACTCAGTGACATAAAGTAACAGCATACATGTGAAAGTGACCTGGAGTGTTGTAAATGAATCCCGTTCTTTACGTTGTAGGTTGTCACTGGGACAAACTACTACTTGGATTTGGAGATAGGTCGAACCACCTGTACTAAGTCTCAGTCTGACCTGGCCGAATGTCCCTTCGTTGAGCACCTACATGAGCACAAGGTATGTCATTGACGTGGGCCCAGGGCTGATTATCGAAGAGGGGCATGTGAGCTTGTTTGTATGCTCATGTGTGAGAGTGTCAAGAGATGCATGTGTGTATGTGGATGGATGCATGTGTTGTGTGTGTGTAGATGAGTGGGGGGAGCGTGGTGGCACATGAATAGATACATGTGAAGTGGGGTGTGTATGAGTTAATGCAGATGTAGACCTTTACACATGTGGGGTGCTGCAGGAGGGGCCATGTGTGTACACATGATCAACTTGAATTACACAGTGGGTATTCCCTTCTATTTAGGGTCCCAGGAGGACACCCTTTTGTGTTTGAGTGTGCTGCCTGCTGGCCTGGGGGACATAGCTACAGGATGGTTGCTGAGGACAGAGAAAAAGCTCTGTTAGTCCCACCTTTGGCCACCTGCCCAGAGCCATGCTGGACAGATCAGGGGCCTGTAAACAGATGAAACCCTCTGGTGCTGTCCCTGCTTTCTCAGTGCCAGCCTCTCTACGGCCCTGGGGATATCTGCCTTCATCTTGTCTACCTTCCCCCAACCCTGATGCCTATTTCAAGGCTGTTTACTGTGCTCACTTCTTCCCTCTGTGCCCCTGTTCTTGCTGGCCCAGGTGCTGGAGGTGGAGGAAACTTGGACAGTGACAGCCTTGCGTGCCCTGCACCCCTGGGGCTCCCACAGCCTTACACATGATCCAGGGAGAGAGTCACATGGTGTCTTGTGGACTCAGAGCAATGGGCAGGGCGATGAGTAGATATTGAGTTTGGTTGATTATCAAAATTGAACCTGGCAAAGGAGATAGGGGCTGAGAATCCCACGACCATTATTCTGTACCCCAATTCTGACATCTCAGATTGAACATCTTCCCTGTTATCTGAATCACACACTGATTGTCCCTTTCTCTTCTTTTTACAGAGGACTTACTGCTCTTTCCAGGTCTACATTGTGCCCTGGCTGCACACAATCTCCATGACACAATACAGTTGTCATAATGACTAAGGGTATGTGCCAGGCAGAACTGCATTGGCCACCCCTTCCTCACTCCACTCCCCTGTAATGCCCCAGACCCTCAGATATCCCCTAGCCCTTATTGTGGCAGCACCAGCAGACCAGTGGAGATGGCTTATGTCACTCTTCCCTTGTTTGTTCCTTCTCATTATTTTTCAAACACATTGGTGCCTGGCCTATAAGCACCTCTCCTGCCTTTCTCAATAAAATAGTGACATATATTTCTCCTGAGTAGTTACTGTCTTGGGGGTCCACACAGGAAGGTTCTGCCACAGATGGGGAGCTGAGGCCTGTGTGTGTGCACGGGGGCCAGTGCTGCCACTGGGATATCTGGGATCTGGTCTCAGAGGACTGAAGAGGGTGGGATTGCAGGTATCCAGCTGCAACTACTGCTGGGAAATGGACAAGAGAGAATAGGAACCTAGGCTCTCATCCTGGAAGCGTGGCTGCTACTTAGATGGTGAGGAGAGTCTGGCCACTGCCCAGGGCTGTGGCACACTCCCTCCATGTGTGCACAAGTGATGGGTGGCTGGGATTATCCTGTCCCTGTCAGATTCTCAAGAGGCTAAATAAGTAGTGATTCCTGTCTCCTCCTATTCATACAAGATTTGGGCACCTATATGAAACAAAGACTGAAAGTATATTGGTGTGCACTTAATTGTGGACATACCAGCCAGAATCCAAAACAGAACACGTAATACAGAGTGGAGGCACTGCTTACTCCAGTGCACTTAGGATGGGTGCCCAGTGGGGTTCACAGATGATACTCCCTGCCCTTTCTCTGCCCTTGATTGTAAAAACAGTTCTTGTATGCAATTTTCTTAAGGGACATAGCTTTTAAAACATAGATGAATTGACATGTAGTGGACTTTCTTCTATTTGCAAGAGGATGTTTTCAGTAATATTACCTTAGTATCAGTACTGTTGTATAGTACATGGATGGATATTTCAGTGCCAAAAACAGGGGAGTCTGAAGACCTAAAACATATGTGCTTCACTGCTTTATGAACTGGGAGAAGCTTTCTCTGTCCCAGCCACTGGCATACAACTTTCAAATGCCTTCCACGAGGTAAAACTGCATCAGAAAGCTGTCTTTCAGCCACTGCTCTAACCACTGAAGGTGAAATGACAGAGATCTAACCAGGCAGTGGAGGCTTATACCCTGGAGTTGTGGAGTGGACAGGCGGAGCCCAGGCAGCAAGGCAGAGTGCCTCCTTCCATGGTGTTTCATTTCCTATACAGCCCTCCAGATGCAGTCTTCTCACCCTTAACTTCATTTAACAAAAGTTCTTTGGATGAAGAAAGAAAAGCATCCCCAGAAGGTCATGAATCTGAGTCTGGGCAATACCAGGCAGGCATTGTGAATTTTGTAATCCAAATCTCCATGGAGAGCATTGACCATGGGCAAAACAGGAGGGGCAGGACAGAGAAAGTCTATGGTAGGACCCCTGTCATGAGGTGGTCACGAGTTTTTCTACCTGCATGAAAGATCTGGGTTTGACCTGATTCTCTCTTTGGGGGAAGTGAAGGGTAGAGTAAATTTCATCAGATCTGTGACTCAGGCCAACCCCTGAAGCTTCCATATCTCATCTGTAGAGAGAGTGCAGTGATAGTACCTTCCTTACTTTCTGTAAACCCTCAGTGTACAGCATGTGGTGATGTGTTAATGTTTATTCCATGCGTATTAATCCAGTCAAAATGTTCATATGTTCACTTTTATATGCTGTCATATGAGTCTATTTCTTTTTTCAAAAGATGCTCTTGCCAGGTGCAGTGGTACATGCCTGTAATCCCCAAAACTTGAAGAGGGTAAGGTAGTAGGATCAAAGAGTTCAAAGCCAGCCTCAGCAACTAAGATAGGTATTTAGCAACTCAGAAAAACCCTGTCTATAAAAAAGGATTGGGGATGTGGCTCATTGTTTAAAGTGCCCCTGGGTTCAATCCCTGGTACACACTCACCCCCAGCAAAACAAAAATGCTCTTAGCCATGTATCTGGGTCTGCTTTTTCCCTTCCTTTTATACTCTTTCTTCATTGCTTCCTTTCTTTTATTCTTTCATTTTTCCAACCACACCATTTTAGAGAAGAGATTTTATCTTAATTCACTTTTCTTCTCCTAAATTCTGTTTTCTGAATATATTTGTTTTTCCAGATGAAAATATTTTTTTTTCTGGTTCAAAAAGTACAACTGTTGATCAAACTACGTAGTTTCTTCTCAGCAAAAGAAACAATCTGGAAGGTAATCAGACAGCCTACATCCTGGGAGCCAATTTTTAACCCTCACACAATCAGAGTAGTAATCTCTAGGGTATATAAAGAACTCAAACAGTTAAGCACCAAAACCCCCCAAATAACCCAATCAACAAATGGGCCAAGGACCTGAACAGAAACTTCTCAGAAGAGGATATACAATCAACAAATACATGAAAAATTTCTCATCTCTAGCAATCAGAGAAAGGCAGAGCAAAACTACTCTAAGATATCATCTCACTCCATTCAGAATGGCAGCTATTATGAAGACAAGTGTTGAAGAGGATGTGGGGAAAAAGGTGTACACATACACTGCTGGTGGGATTGTAGATGGTGCAGCCAATATGGAAAGCAGTATGGATATTCCTTGGAAATTTGGGAATGGAACCACCATTTGACCCAGCTATCCCCCTTCTTGGACTATACCCAAAGGACTTAAAATAGCATACTACAGGAATACAGCCACATCAATGTTTATAGCAGCACAATTCACAATAGCTAAACTGTGGGGCCAACCTAGATGCCCTTCAGTGGATGAATGGATAAAAAAATGTGGCATATATACCCAATGGAATTTTACTCAGCAATAAAAGAGAATAAAATCAAGGCATTTGCTGGTAAATGATGGCATTGGAGAAGATATTGCTAAGTGGAGTTAGTCAATCCCCAAAAAACAAATGCCAAAGATTTTCTCTGATATAAGGAGGCTGAGTCATAGTGGGTTAGGGAGGGTGATCATGGGAGGAATAAATGAATTCTAGATAAGGAAGAGGGGTGGGAGGGAAAGGGAGGGTGTAGGGGGTTAGCAAGAATGGTGGAATGTGATGGAGACCATTATCCAAAGTACATGAATGAAGACACGAATTGGGTGAAAAATTGTGATATATATATGTAATAAGAATTGTAATGCAAAAAAGTACATGTATAAAGACATAAATTGGCATGAACATACTTTATATACAAAGATATGAAAAATTGTGCTCTATATGTAAAATAGAATTGTAATACATTCTGCTGTTGTATATTTTAAAAAATAAAATCAAATAAAAGTACAACTGTTGAGTTTAGAACCAGGAATACATTTTAATGTTTATAATTCCATTTGGGAATAATTTTGACAACATTTAATATTCTAGTTTTTCACTTAGGCATACTTTAACTATGTCCTTCAGTGGAGTAAAACAGACTTTTCTGTATCTTTCATGTTTTCCATAAATTTATCCCTGGATATTTGATTTTTTGATGTGACAATCTCTCTCATACCAATAACCAGCCATCACTGACGATGTTCCCTGTTCCCATCATGTTCCCTGATTCTCTTGAAGCTGCTTTGGGGGCTGTCATTCACAGGTTCTAAGAGGCTTGGGCAGTTCACATGCAGGAGCTGGCTCATCACTGTTGGCACAAGTGGCCTTGGATGAAGCCAGGGCTTCGATGAAATGCAGAGACAGAAAAGACCACCCTACCTGGCAATGTTGGACAGATGAGGCATCAGTAGACAAACATGTGGCCACCCGTTCTTTCTCACTATACCCTACTGAATTTATTGGTCAAACACATTTAAAATGGAGAAGCAACGAACAAAATGGTAGCTTAACTAAGGAGCAAATTTCTTTTGGTCATATCTGCTCCTTTACTCTTGGTCTTGGGATTCCAAGTGGGTCACTTCAGAATCATGTCACAGGATCACAAGGCCAAGTCAGCAATACTCAGGGGTCATCCTGAGGACAGAAGCTCTCCTGCTCCCTTGAAACCACGTAAGGATTATCTGGTCTCCAGTTGGCTGCATGGTGCAGTCACCTGAGGAGTGTGGCTCTCACTGCAATCACCTGTTTACACTGGAGGAATCCATTTCATTGGTCTGGGAAAGGCCTGGGCAATGAATTTTAAAATAGTTCACAACTGCTTCTTCGAAGAACTCTCCTAACATGTCTGTACATTGCAGCAGGTGAGATATACTCGTGGCCTCACTTTCCTCTGGACATACTTTTGTTGACATACAATGTAACCCCCTCCTCCATATTTAGCAAATAACAGATGAAAAAGCAAAAGTAAGTGGAAGAGTCCTTCAATCAGAGGACAGTTGGGTTAATGGCCTTCAGCTCAGCAGGTTTCTTTGAGGCAGTGACCCCAGCATCTTCAAACAGCTCTGGGCACATCTGTCCTTGAGATGCCCTTGGCCTCACTCCCAAAGGCTGCTGTTGCTTGTCCTCCTGCCCTCTGAGTCACTGCACCTAAAGGTCTCACTGATCCTTCTTTCCCTTGTGATTACCCAAGGATGTGCATGGTGTCCTTTCCTTCTGGATCCTTCAGCTCAGTGAATGCTCCCTTTCTGGGGTAGAGCAATTCAGTTTCTTCTAGACTTTCTGCCACCCATCCAGGTCCCCATGGGATTTCTAGTAAACAAATTCACCCTTTCTGTAAGACTTTTGATTTTGAATAATCCCTAATAAGCATGTCAGCCTGTTCTGTGAGGCTTCGAATCAGCCATTCATTTCTCCTCTCTAGCCATGGAAGTCCTTGTGAATGTTTTGGTTCTAGAATGTCCCCCAAAGGCTCCTGTTTGAAGGCTTCGTCCCAGTGCAGCAGTGTCTACAGGGAGGGCTCTGGGAACTCATGGGATCCTGAGCTCTGTGATCTCATCAATAGATTAACCCCTTGATGGATTCTCAGGGGAATGGACCATTGGGTGTTGGTGAAGACTGTACAGGTGGGACCAGCTGATGTGAATGTGTCCTTGAGGTCACTTGAGGACTGTATCTTGATACTGCTATCTTTCTTTCCCTTTCCTGGATGTTATAAGTTGACAGTTTTTGTCCACCCTTATTTTTCTGCCTTGTTATATGACTAAAACCAAAGGAGCTGGCCAATCATGGACTAAAACCTCTGAAACCATGAACCCAAATAATGCTTTCCTTGTTTAGATTGTTTTTTTTCGCCCAGATATATTTTTACAGTAATGAAAAGATGTCTTACTCAGTCATAGATGGCATTTCCTTCCAACATAAGGCTGTTCAGTCTCTATTGGAAATCTGCTCTTTACTGTAGCCACCATCATCAATGGTCATCGCCAGACCTTCTAAGCACCTTGCTGTGCCTTCTCCATGGGCACTTGCTGCTTCATCTTGTACTTGGATGTTCTAGAGGGGTCCTTTCCTTAAGCCTCATGAACCCACCTCTGCTAGCTTCACATTTTTTCTTCTGCTGCTTCCTCACCTCTCTTGGCTTTTATAGCATTGTAGAGAGTTAGGGTCTTGCTCTGGATTAGACTTTGGTGAAGGGAATGTGGTGGCTGGTTTGATCTTTCATCCAGACACTAGAACTTTCTCCATAGCAGCAATTACAGTGTTTTGCTTTCTTATCATTCGTGTGTTCATTGGGCAGAACTTTTAATTTCCTTGAAGGTTTTCTTCTTTTGTATTCACTACCTGTCTAACTCTTTGACAGGAGTCCCAGTTTCCGGCTGATCTTGGCCTTCCACATGCCTTTCTTACAAAGGTCAATAATTTCTGGCTTTTGATTTAAAGGTAGGGACCAAATTAATCTTCCTGTCACTTGAACACATAGAGGTTATTATAAGGCTATTAATAGGCCTCAGTTCAATATTGTTAAGTGTCAGGCAATAACAAGGCCTAAGAAGGGGACGAGAGATGGGGGAGTGGTTGATCTTGGAGCTGTAGAATACAGGCAACCTGTATTGATTAAGTTCACAATCTCATATGGGTGACTTCATTGTGCTTCCAAACCATTACAATAGTAACATAAAACATCACTGATAACAAATCACCATGGGAACTATATTTTATACATTTAAAAAAAGTTTTGGTACTGGTGATTAATCCCTTGGGGGCTTAAACCAGTGAGCACCATCCACAAACTTTTTCAGTTTTTATTTTGATACAGGGTCTCTCTATATTGTTTAGGGTTCTCACTACATTGCTGTGACTGGCCTCAAATTTACAAACCTCTTGCATCAGTCCCCAGAGTTGCTATTGTTACAGGTGTGTGCCACCACATCCAGCATGTGCTATATTAATAATGGGAAAGTTTCAGAATCTTGCAAGAATTATCAAAATGTGACACAGAGAAATGAAGGGAGCACATGCTTTTGAAAAACTGATTATTATTATTATTATTATTCAATGCATAGTTTCGAGAATTCTTTAATTTTTACAAAATGCAATACCTACAAATAGACAAAACATAATGCCTGTACTGTAATGTGTCTCTTATATTAGACTTAGTGCATAATATTTTTCAAAAATCACAGATAAAGGAGAATATGTTATGTGTTAACTTCATGTCAGGAGAGTACAATGGATACTGTCTTTATATTAAAGGACTACCCAGGTCTAATGAGCTGTGAGAATCACTGACTAGAAAGGATCGTGTCTCAAGTTTTAATAGTACAATAAAGAGGAAACTGATTGTATAGACATCAAGTCAGAAAAATATATATATTGAAAAAGTGTGTACAATCAGCTCTATGAAATCTAAACTCAAGAGATTTTGTAGTAAATCCAGAAGTAACTGTAGTTTTTTGTTTGTTTGTGTTTTGTTTGTATCTCCTTCATCACAGGAAAATAAGAACAAACTTCTGTGGTGAGTCCTACCTTTTGGAAGCTAGGCCTGGGGCTTTGTATGACACTGTCTCTAGTCATACTTTATTGGATGTCACTGCATACAGCAGTGTAAAATTGTACATCGCCTAGTGTAACAATTCTAGCTAAGGACTTAGCTTGGTGCTGGGTGCATAGTTTCAACAAATAAATGTTCTAAATGCTGAGAAAGATGTTCTGGCTCAAACAGGTCTTTTTTTTTTTTATCAACTTACCTAAAGAGCTGAATTTTATCCAGTCCTGGTGGCCCACGGCTATAATTCTAGTGTCTTGGGAAGCTGAGGCTGGAGGATCTGCAGTTCAAAGCCAGCCTCAGCAACTTAGTGAGACCCTCTTTCAAAACCAAATATGAAAAAAAGCTGGGTATGTAGCTAATACCCACCTGGATTTAATACCCACCCCCCACCTCACCATAATGCTCTACTCCCAAAGAAAAGCTGAATTTTAAAGTCAAGCAGATTCTTTCTGACTGTGTACACTCTTTTGTTCTTGGGTGGCAGAATTTTAGTTGAGACACCAAAAAATACATTGTTACCTGAAGACCCCAAATCCCTTTTACATGTCATTGTCAGTTGTGATGTTGGACAGATGAACTGTGTGTGTCTAGTATTTTGAACAGTGGATTCTTGGTCTTTCATGTTTCTTTTTCATTCATCACTTCCTATAATATATATCCTCTTCTTTCATTCCAATTTAGTGTCTGAATGATTGGATCTAGTAATATGGAAAGAGCTGGATTTTGAAATTCAGCTGTGGCTGTCAGTATAAAACATCTTCTCATTTGCATGCTTAAACTTTCAATTGAAAAATAAACCAGAACAAAGAAGTGAAGTCTGAGTAGAGGCAAGAAGATGGCTTGAGCTTCAAGCACTGGTGCTGATGTACTTTGTGCATAGAATCAGCTCCTCCTTAGGTTGGTCAACTTCTAGTTGAATGACAGATAGAGGATGGTAATTTATCATAATTCTTAACACATAGGCTTGAAGCTGCAAGCTAAGGAACACACCAACAACAGCACACATTGACAATAAGAGGATGAGGAGATGCCAGGAAATGTTAGCAAGCCTTTGAAGGATGAACATGTCCAGTCATAAAGGGATTAGGAGCTTAAGATCAAGTATCTTTTACTCTCTTTATGGCCTCTGAATAGATTGCTGCCAATCCATATTGAACAATGGTCAAAGTTTGTGGTTTTGATTTGTTAGGAAAACTTATTATAGTCCGGAACCTTTAGTTAATGAGACAGATCAGGGTATTACATAAGGGTGTAACATCCGTGTTCCTGAGCAGGAGAAAGTTCACCGGAGGAAGGACGGAAGTGTAGAGGTTGGACAAATAGAATCCAAGAAGTGGGAAGTAGAGGTAGCCAGGAAAGGAGGAGCCAGGGTTGGGGAGGGCCTGGCAGCCAGAGAGGGATAAAAGCACCTCAGCTGCAAGATGGATCACTTCCCCTCTGCTTGGTTGCAGGTACAGCTCCAGGTCAGAGTCAACCATGGCGACAACTCTGCACCTCCCACTGCTCCTGCTGTCAGCCTTGGTGGCTTTCTGTGCAGCGAGTGAGAGTTCCAAGCTGAGTGGTATCTCTCAGAAAACACTGGGTGGCCTGGAGGATGCTGACATCCACGAGGAAGGCGTTCGACAGGCTATAGACTACTCTGTGGGCGTTTACAACCAGGAGAACAACGACCCGCATTACAGCCGTGCGCGGAGGGTGCTGAGTGCCCGCCAGCAGGTGTGTGCTGATCCCTGGGCCTGGGTCAGAAGGACTTGCCCCTCACAGGGCATGTCACCCTTCCCCAGGCCTACCCTCTCCCTTTAAGCTGTTGCTTCCCACTTGGGCTTCCAGAGCCAGAAGCTCTAGGGTGCTCAGCAGCTATGGCCTGGGGCTGTTCTGATCTGCTAGGTTAGTTACACAAACTGCTGCTCGCCCAAGCCCTGTTCTAGGTAATTTTCTGTCACCCTAAAGCCCTTTGAGTCCTTGCCCTGGGGATTGTCCTCAGACAGGGCCTGGAAACCCACCTTGCCTGGAGCTCTAGGTGGGTGCCAGGAGCTTTATTTCTGTTTCCAGCCACCAACAGGCAAGGGCCATCAGGGCTACAGGACAGGATGAGGGTCAGGGTCTGCCCTGGTTATACAACCCTACCACCAGCCTGGAGAGGGCCTGGAATTAGTGTGAAGTGTTAACTGAATGACTACGGGAGATGGACAAAACATATGCCCCTTGGATGCCTTCAATTAGAGTTTTTTCCCCTTTTATTTTGGCATTATTGTATCTCTAGATCCTAATAGTAGGCCATGTTTCCTCCTTTGTCCTCATTCTTCCAGGACATATGTGTACATGCATGTATTTGTATGCATTTATTTTTCTGGACCTTTTTAGAGTCAACACTTCAGTGCACCTTGCACGCAAACATGGACATTTTCTTACCTTATATATGACTCAGTATTGAAAATCCTGAATTAACACATATTCAGTTAGCTAATTCACAGACTTAAATTTGCTGGTGTCCACTGATGGATGCCCCCCCAATATGCTGCAGTCACTGTCCTGTCTCAGCTGTGGTGTGCAGTCATGTGCCCACAAGGATGACCACATATACACTGTAGCTCCTTAAGAAGGTATCACCTAGTGACATTGTAGGCATAGTAGTTTGTTATGTGGAATATGACATTTGCACAGTGAAATCCTGTAAGGACACATTTCTCAGAGAATGTCCGTGCAGTTAAGCTACATATAAGTGTATAGACTGCTCATTCTGGGTGTCTCAGATTTTTCTCAGGATGGACCCCATCTAGAGTCCTCTAAGTAAGCACCACTCAACATGTCCCGAGTAGTCTGCATTCCCTGTGCATGGCACACACTGTGAGCATTCTCTGGGAGTAGACTCCAGGGGCCAGTGTCCCCCACACTAAGACAGATGCATCATGGTGAGTAGTTGTGGGCAATTGAGTGCCCCCTGGGGTTGAGAAGACCTCAGCTGGACATAGCCAGGTGACCATGGACTGAAACTTCTGGAACCGTGAGCCAAGATAACCTTTTCTTCTCTAAGTAGTTCATATCAGGTGTTTTGGTCACAGTGATGAAAAGCTAACACACTAGGCCAACATATTAACTCAGTGACATAAAGTAACAGCGTACATGTGGAAGTGACCTGGAGTGTTGCCAATAAATCCTGCTCTTTTCATTGTAGGTTGTCGCTGGGATGAAATACTACTTGGATTTGGAGATGGGTCAAACCACCTGCGCTAAGACTCAGTCTGACCTATCGGAATGTCCCTTTGATGATTCCCAAGATCAGCAGGTATGTCATTGATGTGGGGCCAGGGCTGATCATAAAGACTTGCATGTGATCTTATTTGTCTGCTCATGTGTGAGAGGGTCAAGAGATGCATGTGTGTACATGCGTGGGTTCATGTGTTGACTTTGTGTGTAGATGAGTGGGGGAAGCGTGGTGGTTCATGAATAGGTACATGTGAATGTGGGGTGTGTGTGTGAGTTTATGCAGATGCGGACCTGTGCACATGTGGGGTGCTGCAGGAGGGGCCATGTGGGTACACATGATCAACTTGAATTACACAGTGGGTTTTCTCTTCTAATTAGGGTTCCAGGAGGACACCCTTTTGTGTTTGGGTGTGCTGCCTGCTGGCCTGGAGGACATAGCATCAGGGCTGGTTGCTGGGGAGGGAGAAAAATCTCTGTCAATGCCAACTTTGGCCACCTGCCCAGAGCCATGCTGGACAGATTAGGGGCCTGTAAGCAGATGAAACCCTCTGGTGCTGTCCTGCTTTCTCAGTGCCAGCCTCTCTACGGCCCTGGGGTGAGCTGCCCTCACCTGGTATACCTTCCCCTGACTCTGCCTATTTCAGTATTGTTTCCTATGCTGCCACTTCTTCCCTCTGTGCTCCTGTTGGTGCTGGCCTAGGTGCTGGAGGTGGAGGGAGCTGGGACAGTGAGCAGGCTTCCCTGTCTGGCACCCCTGGGGTTCCACAGCCTTACCCAATCTGCTTCTTAGAGGACTGGCTGTGCTGGGGGCAGAAGGATGTGGAATCCCATGAACTGGGGAGAAATTCACATGCCTTCTGGTGGACTTAGAGCAATGGGAGGGTGATGAGTAGATACGGCTGAGTTTGGTTGAATGTGAGATTTGGACCCGGCAAGGGTGGTTGGAGGCTGAGACTCCCACCTCCTTCATTCTGTACCCCATGTCTGGCATCTCAGATTGGACCTTTTCCCTGTTAATTGAAACCCACACTGTTTGTCCTTTCTCTTCCCTTTTGCAGAGGACCTTCTGCTCCTTCGAGGTCTACAGTGTGCCCTGGCTGCGCCAAATCTCCGTGATAGAATACAGTTGCCACAATGAGTAAGGGTATGCGCCAGGCAGAGCTGCATTGGCCACCCCTTCCTCACCCGACTCTCCTTTAATGCCCCAAATCTCTGATATCCCCCAGCCCTTATTGGGCCAGCACCAGCAGAACAGTAGAAGAGGCTTCTGTGGACAAGTGTTGAAACCGAATGGCTCTTCCCGTGTTCACTCCTTCTAATTATTTTTCAAACGCATTGGTTCCTGGCCCATAAGGACCCCTCCTGCCTTGCCAATAAAAAGTGACATGTACTCCTCCTGAGTAGTGGCTGTCTTGGGGGTCCATGCAGGAAGGGTCTGCCACAGGTGGGGAGCTGAGGCCTACGTGTGCGCACTGGGGCCAGTGCTGCCACTTTTGGGGATATCTGGTCTCAGAGGACTGAAGAGAAGAGATGGTGTGGGATTGCAGGTATCCAGCTGCAGCTACTGCTGGGGAATGGAGAAGAGAGAGTAGGGACCTAGACTATCCTTCTGGAAGTCTGGCTGCTGCCTTTGAAAGAAGTTAGATGGTGAGGAGGGTCTGGGCAGTGGCCAGGGTTGGGGGTGGCCTTCTCCATGTATGTACAACTGTGGGCAGCTGGCACTGTCCTGTCCCTGAAAGTTTCCAAGAGACTGAACAAACAGTTATTCCTGTCTCCTATCCATGCAAGGTTTAGGCACCTACATGAAACAAAGGCTGAAGTTACATTATTGTGCATGTAACCGACAGGGGATGTACCAGTCAGAATCCAGAACAGAGCAATGTGATGCAGAGTGGGGGCCTCTGGGATTGGTGCTCAGTAGGGTTCACAGATGGACACTCCCTGCATTATCCTTGCACTTGATTGTAAAACATTCCTTGTGCTCAGCTTTCTTCAGGGATTTAGCATTGAAAACACAAAGGAACTGACATGCAGTGGACTTGCTTCTGTTTGCAAGAGGATGTTTTTCATTAATATCACCTTGATGTCACTACTGGTGCATAGAACAGGGATATGTTATCACCAAAAATGGAGATCCTGGTGAAATAAAAGATACATGCTTCACTCCTTTCTGCACTGGGGAAAAGGTGAAGCCCTTACAATCCGAGTCACTGGTATAGGGCCTCTCAAATTCCTTCTAGGAACTGCATTAGAAATCTTTCTTGCTGTCACTGCTATAACCACTGAAGGTAAAATGATAAACAGAGACCCACAAAGACAGTGAAGCTTGAACTCCAGGAGTTTTGGAGTAGAAAGGGGGAGCCTAGCCAGCAAGGCAAAACACGCCCCTTCCATGGTGCTTCATTTTCTATCTAGCCATTCAGCCACGTCCTTCTCACCCCTGACTTGGAGTTGACTGTGACCAGTGGTCCTGGCAGGAAGTCCACCTATTGTATGCACCACATGCTTGGTTTTACGTTATTCATTCATTTTAAATGTATATTCTAAGCATATATTTTATATAATCCCCAGAAATAGGTTCAGTACAGTGTGTGGCTTAGAGTATATACTCAATAAGTTTTAGACCTTTTTCATTAGTGTGGTGATATATTATGGAGATTTTAAAACATGGCCCTGAGCCTCTTTGGCACTGGTGGCATGGAGGAGTGGGTTCTGTGTCCCTGCCTCTTACCTCTGCCAAGGCTTGTGATTACATCAACAAAAATTGCTCAGAAAGGGAGGTGGGTGACCTTGAGGCTTGGGTCAGGAATGTTCTCTCCTGAGTTCTCTTGGACCCTCGCCCTGAGGGAAGCCTGGCTCCTTGTGAGGAGCTGAATCCCAAGATTTCTATGCCTGGGAGACCTTAGGAGGTGTTCCAAGTGACAAGTCAAGCTAAGCGCCTTGCCAAGACGTGCATCACCTGCTGACAGGTGAGTGGGTCACTATGGATGTCCAGTCCTCCTTCAGTTCCCAGATGATTGCCGCACCAGCTGACATATGACTGCAACCATGTGGACACTCCAAGCAGGAACCGCCCAGCTGGCCTTTCCTGAGTTCCTGGACAGTTGGTTAGCACTCCACTAAGTGTTCGGGTGCATTGTTACACAGCAGTAGGTTCTGGGACATTCCTCTGGGTGTATGTGTTTAAAGTGGTGTTGCCCAGGATCCTTGGTGCTAGAACTCCTGGGAGTGAATTCTAACCAGATCTGTGATTTAGGTCGGTACCTTACACAGTCTCCTTTATCTCATCTGTAGAGTGGGTGCAGTGATAGTACCTTTCTTATGGTTTGTATACACTCAGCGTACAGAATGTGGTGATGTGTTATAGTTTTTTACACGAAAACACTGAATGCATATTAATCCAGTCAAAATGTTCAATATGCTGTCATATCGTCTAAGTTCATTTTTTTCCAAATGAGTCTTTTAAATACACACACACACACATATATTTTTTAGTTGTAGAAGGACACAATAACTTATTAACTTAATTTTATTTATTTATATGGTGCTGAGTATTGAACCCAGGGCCTCGAACATGTGAGGCAAGCACACTACCACTAAGCCACAACCACAGCCCTCCAAATGATTCTTTAACCATGTAATTTTTTGTGTGATTTCCTAAAAAGCCGTCAACAATCATTTTGATCCCACAGTAGATTCACAGGGCATCATTGTTCCATTTATATATCTCAGTCCCATCTGTATCTGTTCCTTTCCTTCTTTGTTCCTTTCCTTGCCTTCTCTCTCTTTTTCCAACCACACCATGTGGATAAGGATATGTTCTTAATTGTGTTTTTCTCTCCTAGATTTTGTTTTCTGAATGTATTTGTTCTTCCAGAAGAAAATATTTTTTTAGTTCTGAAAGTAGAACTGTTGTGTTTTGAACCAGGAGTCCTGGTCAATATTTATATTCCAATTTAGGAAAAATCTGGACAACATTTAATATTCTAGCTTTTCACTTAGGCATACTTTAATCATGTCCTTCAGTGGAGTAAAAAAGACGTTTCTTATTTGTACCTTTCGTATTTTCCTAAATTTATTCCTGGATATCTGATTTTTTTTTGTTGTTGTTGTTATGACCATCTCCCTCTTGTTGCAGTAGTCAGCCATCACTGGCAATGTTCCCTGTTCCCATCCATGTTCCCTGATTCTCTGGCAGCTGCCTTGGGGACTGTCATTCACAGGCTCTAAGAGGCTTGGGTGCTTCACATGCAGGAGCTGGCTCATCACAGTTGGCAAGAGTGGCCTTGGGTGAAGCCAGGGCTTCAAAAATCTTAGATGCAGAGACAGAAAAGTCCACCCTACCTGGCAATGCTGGACAGATGAGGCAAGTGTAGACAAACATGTGGCCACCCATTCCTTCTCACTATACCCTACTGAATTCATTCGTCAGTCACATTTAAAATGGCGAAGCTGTGAGCAAAATGGCAGCTGAACTAAGGAGCAATTTCTCTTATGATCACTCATATCTTTCCCTTTACTCTTGGTCTTGGGATTCCAAGTGGGTCACTTCAGAATCAAGTCACAGGATCACAAGGCCAAGTCAGCAATTCTCAGGGGTCATTCTGAGGACAGGAGCTCTCCTGCTCCCTTAAAACTAGATAAGGATTATCTGTGATGATGGTTTCCAGTTGGCTGCATGGCGCAGTCTCCTGAGAGTGTGGCTCTCACTTCAACCACCTGTTCTCACTGGAGGAATCAGTCTTATTGGTCTGAGAGAGGCCTGGGCACTGGATTTTATAACAGCTCACAACTGTTTCTCCAAAAAACTGCCGATGTATAACCCAATTAGGTTCCCTGTCAAAGTCCAATCTCTCCTAACATGTCTGCACACTGCAGCAGGTGAGGAATACTCATGGCTTCACCTTCCTCTGGACGTACTTTTGGTGCCAGGTTATCTACCCAAACATACAATGTAACCCCCTCCTCCATATCTAGCAAATAACAGACGAAAAAGCAAAAGTAAATGAAAGAGTCCTTCAATCTTAGCACAGCTACGTTAATGGCCTTTAGCTCAGCAGGTTTCTTTGAGGCAGTGACCCCAACATATTCAAACCCCTCGGGGCACGTCTGTCCTTTGCCTCACTCCCAAAGGCTGCTGTTGCTTGTCCTCCTGCCCACTGAGTCACTGCACCTACAGATCTCACTGATGCTTGTTTCTCTTGCGATTACCCAAGGATGTGCTTGGTGTCCTTTCCTTCTGGATCCTTCAGCTCAGTGAATGCTCCCTTTCTGGGGTAGAGCAATTCAGTTTCTTCTAGACTTTCTCCCACCCTTCCAGGTCCCCATGGGATTTCTAGTAAACAAATTCTCCTCTTCTGTAGGATTTTTTTATTTTGAATGATCCCTAACAAGCATGTCAGCCTGTTCTGTGAGGCTTTGAATCAGCCATTCATCTCTCCTCTCTAGCTATGGAAGTCCTTGTGAATATTTTGGTTCTAGAATGTCCCCCAAAGGCTCCTGTATGAAGGCTTCGTCCCAGTGCAGCAGTGTCTACAGGGAGGGCTCTGGGAACTCATGGGATCTTGAGCTCTGTGATCTCATCAATAGATTAACCCCTTGATGGATTCTCAGGGGGAATGGACCATTGGGTGTTGGTGGAGACTGTACAGCTGATGTGAATGTGTCCTTGAGGTCACTTGAGGACTGTATCTTGACACTGCTATCTTTCTTTCTTTCTCTTTCCTGGATGTTATAAGGTGCAGTTTATTTCCACCCTTATATTTCTGCCTTGTTATATGACTAAAACCAAAGGAGCTGGCCAACCATGGACCAAAACCTCTGAAAACATGAACCAAAATAAAACTTTCCTTATTTAGATTTTTTTCAGCTATATTGTTACAGTCATAGATGACTTTTCCTTCCAATATAAGGCTGTTTAATCTGTACTGAAAATTCTGCTTTTTACTGTAGCCACCATCATCAATGGTCCTCGCTAAACCTTCTTAGTACCTTGCTGTGCCTTCTCCATGGGCACTTGCTGCTTCATCTTGTACTTGAATGTTCTAGAGGGGTCCTTTCCTTAAGCCTCATGAACCCACCTCTGCTAGCTTCATAATTTTCTTCTGCTGCTTCCTCACCTCTCTTGCCTTTTATAGCATTG